TGATACTTCTAGCCAACCTCTTGGGCCATTAAGCCCTTAAACATGGCTGGAGGTCCCTGTCAGCCTCTTTGGAAATCACAGGTGCTTTTGGGGCAGAGGTCCAGCCTCAACTAGCAGCAGCCTTAACTGTTCATTTACAAGTGTGTGTGTGTGTGTGTGTGTGTGTGTGTGTGTGTGTGTGTGTGTGTGTGTGTTGGGGGAGGGTGCACATGCACACGCATGCATGCATACGGAGGTCAGAGGTCAACCTCACGACGTTGTTGTTACCCATCTTGCTTTTGCTTTTCCTCTAAGGACAGCAATTCTTTTTACGTGTATTTATTTTGCCTGTGGATAGGGGTGCAACACACAGGCCGTAGTGCCGCGACTTGTCAGTGAAGGTCAGGGGATAAGTTTTGGAATGAGTTCTCTCATTCCACCATGTGGGTCTCAGGGATCAAAGTCAAATTGTCAGGCTTGGCAGCAAATGCCTTAACATGCCTTCTTTCTTTCTTTCTTTCTTTCTTTCTTTCTTTCTTTCTCTCTCTCTCTCTCTCTCTCTCTCTCTCTCTCTCTCTCTCTCTTTCTTTCTTTCTCTTTTTGACTAGGCTGACTGGCCCATAAGTCCTAAGGATCCACCTGTCTCTACCGCCCCATGACTGGAATAAGAAGGACACACCACTAAGCTCTGCTTTTTTACATAGGTTCTGAGGTTCAAACTCAGATCCTCAAGTACTTTACCAACAGACCAATCTCCCCAGCTGTCTCAGGGGTTCTATTGCTATGAAAAGACACCATGACCATGTCAACTCTTATAAAGGACAACATCTAATTGGGGTGGCTCGCAAACAGTTCAGAGGTTCAGTCCATTATCATTATGGCGGGGCATGGCAGCATGCAGCCAGACATGGTGCTGGAGAGGTAGCTGAGAGTCCTATATCTTACAGACAACAGGAAATCGACTGTCACACTGGGCAGTACCTTGAGCATCGGAAACTTCAATGTCTACCCCCACAATGACACACGTCCTCCAACAAGGTCATACCCTACTCCAACACCTCCTAATAGTGCCACTCCCTATGAGCTTATGGGGGCCAATTACATTCAAACCACCATACCAGCCCAATTTACAGATCTTGAATAAGCTGAATCTATATTCAAATATCTGGGCCAACTAAATGTCACACCAGATCCATGAATACGGCAGTAAACAGGGAGGCAGAGGGAAGAGAAGAGCACCCCCTGAATTCTGGCCTCTTGGTTTTACTATATCAAGGCCAAGAACCAGACCACAGGCAGAGTTGAACCCAGGCTGGATTCTTTGCAAGATTGCTGTGAGGTGACACATGAGAGTCCAGGGCCAACTGGACAATGAAGCAGAAATGCAATCCAGGTTCTCTTTGCCCAGACAAGCACTTCAGGAAGAGGAAGCAGAAGGAAAGATCCTTCCTATAATTTGTCCAAAAGTAACACATGGGCTAGGAGGACACTCAAAACCAGTCACCAGTATCATGGCCCTACATTGCCCATTCCATTTGACAAAGGCCCCCTACACTGGGAGGGATCCATAAGGTTTTTCAGATCAGCAACCTACAGTCATGAATTCAGAACAGTGTAACTTGTTTCCTTGGGTTTGATGCTAACAGGGTGCCCATTCCCAGCTCTTATCACATGTAAGAATCCACAGGCCACCAATGGACAAAGATTCCCAGTCCCTATTAAACATGGCTAACCTGCAGCCCTCAGACTGCACATGTCCCAGGACAGCTATGAATATCACATGTGTTGATGCCATCATACCACAATGCCAAAAAGCATCCCTGTGGGTCCATACAGTCCTCGGAGCTGGAAGAGAAGTAGTTAACAAGCCTGTTCCCTTTTGAATTCTAGCCAACATCTTTGCCCTTCATGAGCACAAGCTGTAGAGACATTCAACCCCATCTCCCAAGTTCAATATGAGTGCTGGGAATAACTAAATTAATCAACATTTAGATAGCTGTTCATGGGTAAAAGCTAGGGATACAACAGTGTCCATCACTGCCATCAAAACCATCACCACATGATTACACTTGACCTCATGGGACCAAGAGGTGCGAGGATGGAGAAAGTTCAATTGCTAAGGTGACCCTGACTGTCGTGGAAGTCTACGGAGGGGCCAGAGCTGGACCAGTGTCCACGGACAACCTATCACCTCTCTTTCATCCAATCTTACAGGGAGGTCCAGGCAGGAAGAGACGTGGTTTGCCCAAAGACAAACAGCTGGCAGCTGAGCTAAGACATCGACCCTTGTTCTCTTGTTCCCACCCCCGCCACACACACACACACACACACATACACACACACACACACACATTGCTTTCTCCAAGATTCCAAAACCAGGAGGTGACAAAGTATTTCCTGACACATGGATAACCAGAACCTGCAACTTCGACCCATCTTATCAGCACAGGCTTTGCACCCACATCCATCTCTCAAATCAGAATGTTCACAAATACATTGACTTGATCCGGGGCCAGAGTGTCCAGTTCCCTTCCACTCCCATCTATCACCCTCTCTGATTCTGTCCCGATGTTGATTTTCACTTTAAAAATCTCATAAGGACAGGGCTCTTTTTATCTGATGCTAGCCTTACTTCTCCTTGGGTCTAATCAATCCATGTCTGGAAATAAACAAACCAGAGACAAATGCCACGGTCCCTTTTTGGAAAACAGGCACCTTTAAAGTGATTCATCCCTAGGCATGACACAGAGAGAAACCGAAGGACCATGAACAGACACCTCCAGCAGTAATCGTGTGGATGCCTCCTCTGGGGGGACAGTCACTGTATGTTAACTTCTAAAAGACTCCACCCACCACTGTCAGAATGGAGACATGGGGCAGGGTTCAAAGTCAGGTAGCCCAAAAAGACCACAGGTCCCCAAACATAACTGTGAATATAGCTCAGCAGCCACCACTCTGAGGACCTTGCAGTCTCCAAGACAGAGAATGAGAAGAAGGCTATGGAATAGCAGTTACATGCCTCTAGCTGCACCCAGGGTGTAAGGAGATGACACATCCCAGATCCAGATACCTGGCAACAATGTAGCCTCCTCCCACCGTCTTATTTCACACCCACCTGCAAAGCATGGCGTCCTCACACCTCCTACCAGCCCCAGCCACTGCAGAAAGTGGGAGCCCCAGCCTCTGCTAGTAACAAGCCTATATCTCTGCATGGACAAAGGCAAGCTCCCCTCCAGCAGCCAGCCTACACTCCCATCCCCCGCCCATCAGGGAGGCTCTAACCCCGGCTTTCAGACGGGTACCTCTTCCACAGTAGTGAATTCTCCATCCTTTTGGAGATCTTTTTGACAGTTTCTTGGCAGCTCTGGGTATCCCTTGAGGAATGGCATGGATGCATGCATGCAACATATGTGTGATTGATTTCACTGGGAGCTGCAGCCCGCCAAGGAGGTTCAGAAGAGTGCAAAGAGGGCCCGTATGGAGAAACAGCTTCAGGAAAGGGAGAGGCAAAGGGCCCAGGTGAACTGGGCACAAGACAGCCTCTTAACAGAAATGGGAGAGATGGTGTCTCTTGCTTAACGATTGCAAAGTCTAGTCTTTGATTAACCTTTGAGAGTTGAGTGAAAATCGGGAAACATGCTCGTGTGCACACATGAGCACGCACACATCAAGGACTTGGCTTCTGCGTGACTTCACATGTCCTGTGGTTGCTTGTTAAGAGTTTCAAACAGAGCTGGGCAGTGGTGATGCCCACCTTTAATCCCAGCACTCAGGAAGCAGACACAGGCAGATAGATCTGGGAGTTCGAGGCTAGCCTGATCTACAGAGCAAGTTCCAGAACAGCCAAGGCTACACAGAGAAACTCTTGTCTAGGGAAAAAAAAGTCTCTAACAGGGTTCTGCATGGTACCTTCGAGTACAAGCAGACATCAATGGTGGTGATGAGATGGGCAAGGGGAGGAAACGCAGCTCCCGCAGAGGAAGAGGGTAGCCGAGCCCTCCAGGGGCTCTAGCTCATCTTCACAAGGGAGACCCTAAAGGTGCTGCCTGTTCTTTCTAGAAATGAAAGCAGGCCTGCTGACTTCCTGCAGTAAACTCAGAGGTCCGGACTGCAGCAGCGCTTTCCTTCTAGGTCCCCAGGAACCGGAGAGCATCCTCTTCTTTCCAGGGAGGAGACCCCGGCCCATTGCTTGCTCACAGCCCCCTTGTGGCCCGGGGGTGTCACTGCAGCCCCCTCTGATATTCTGGCCACACATCTCACACAGACCACTCTCAGCTGGGGTGGGGCAGAACATTCAGGAACCAGAGGCTTCTTGGCAACTGTCTGCAAGCCATGTCCACGCTGTGTTTGTTTTTGATGTCTTAAATTAAGACTCTGACTAAAAGTGATCCTTCTAAATCCCTCTGTGGTCCAATCCTTACAGGGAACCAGTCCAAGACCCACCTCATTAAGCCAATAACCTCAGAGCTTCTGTAACATTACCACTGCTTTATTGATCGTTCCTTCTTCTTTCACATGCAATTATGTACAATTGCTGCGAAGCTCGATAGAAGCAGTTAGCAGGAATGCTAGACACCACTGGGTTGCAAGATGCTGAGCGATTACAAAATAGGACACCGAATACCTCACATATCTTGGGTTTCCATATCCTGCTGGGGCTTAGGGGAAGCCGAGACACACAGTGAGCGAGAAAATTTCCAGTGGCTCCCTCCTGTACAAATGCAAACTAAGGACCTAGAGTCCACTCCGCACTAGCAGCCCAGCAAGGGAAAGCGTGGAGCCCACTAGGGCTGGACACTCAACAGGAAAGATCCGTCTAGAGGTTGGGCAGGAGCCATAAGCTGAAGCCCTAGTTACCCTAAAGTATGCACGGAGGAGAGAAACTTTGGGGAGAGAGGAGGTGCTGCAGTGTGCCTGAAGGGTCTCAGGCAGACCGGGAGCCAGGAGGGGTCAAGAAGGGGGGAAATGCTTGCTGCGGGAAGTCTTGGCGGGAGGTGTGTGTTAGGGCAGGAGGTGCTTACCTCTTTCACTTTCTCGCGCTGAGCTCGCACTAGATTCTGGGACTCCTTACCCTCATCAGTCCTTGTCCCCAAGACTGGGTGTCGAAGGCGGCTGCGGAAAGCATTGTAGTCGAAACTGAACCGGACAGTCTCTTCTTGTGGCCTGGGGGCTGCGACACTGTTGCCCTCCTCCCGGGGCCCGGTGGGGCGGGTGCGCCGCAGCCACCCTTTCCTACGGAGGATACCTTTCCTACGGAAGATACCGACCGGGCGGCCGGGATCGTCCTCGCCCGGGGCCGGAGCCGCGGGGGCAGGGTTAGGAGGCGGCTCTTGCTCGGGCACCGGGTGGTGGCCGGCGATTTCGGCCATCACCTCCAGGCCGGGCTGCTGGGTACGCGAGGCCAAGAAGAGGCGCTTGAGGCGAGAGGAGTGGGGCAGCAGGAACAGGGCGCCGAAGCACAGGGTGATGAGGCCCGAGAGGAAGAGCAGGAAAAGGAACTTCTGCGGCAGCCGCAGCCCCCACGCCGAGGCCGGGACGAAGCCCGGCACTTTCCTCACGAGCATCGCGGCGCGGCCAGCAGCAGGGGGCTGTCAGCTCCGCCGGGGCTCCCCGGAGTCCTCAGAGTCTTCAAGGGTAAGGAACGAGAGCGCAGCGGCTGGGGTCCCCGGGCAGGGCTGCGCACCCCGAGGCCGCCGCTCTGGGACCCGCCTGAAGTTCAGGGAGTTTGGAGCGAGTCCTCCCGCGCGAGGGCGGGGGCGCGGCGGCCTCGGCGGGGCCCGGGCGAGGGGGGCTGCTCGGCTGGAGCCCGGGCCCGCCGTGCGCCGCAACCTGCCCTCCGCCTGGTCCACAGAGCCCGCGCCTTCCCGCGCCGGAGCCGTCACATGCCGTCTGTGACGCCTTAGCAGGGTGTGCAGGGACACCCGCAGGCCCCGACCCGCCCGCACTCGAAGTTTCAGCCTCTGGAGCAGTTTGCAACGGAAGCCCCCGGGGCTGCAGCGCGAGCACCGCTCCTAGAGCGCGCGCCTGGCTGGTGGTGACGGCGCGGGGCCCGGCGGTCCGTACACGTCCACAACTTTGCTCCGCCGCGCGCAGCTGCGGCTCCCGAGGCTTCGCGGGACCCGGGGGCTTCAGACGCTCGCGCGGGCAGAGGGATGCCCGGGAAGCGCGTGCGAAGCCTGCAGCTGGCCTCGATCAGCCCGGGGCTGGGCGGCTGCCGCTGCGCCCGAGAGCGCGGACTCGGACGCCGCAACTCGGGAGGGCGCGGGTCTCCCGCTGCGATCACCTGTTCCCGGCCCCGCGGCTCCACTCGCCGCGCAGCCTCCCCCGCTGCAGCTCCAGACGGGCCGCCGCCGCTCAAGCTCTCACTGCGACAGCGCCGCCGCCCCGCCCCCCGCCGGCCACGCCCTCAGGCCACGCCCACATGCGCGCCCCGCGCCCCGCCTCTCCACCCGCCGTGGCGCCGCAGTCTGGCCAATGGGGAGCCTAGCCGGGAGGAATGGGCGGGCCCTGATCTGAGCCACGCCCCTTGCTTCCAGTACTGGCCCTGCGCTCCCCCATCCTGCTGGCTCCAATGGTCCAGCTGCGCGCTGTGGCAAGGGCGGGGTGCAGAGCGAAGCGAGGTCATTGGCTGCCTCCGAGGGATCCCCGTTGGGCCACAATCACCCATTGGTTTCTGCTCAGCATTCGCTGGACTCCGAGCGACCGAGACGCCCCCTCCACCGCCCACCACCGCCTTGAGCCGCTCTGTGTTTCGGTCTCCCCCGGAAGGGCCAGGAGACCAGGTTGGTCTGGAAGGCTTTGCCCATCTTTGGGCGACCCTGTCACTTCTCAGCACCGGCCGGGGATTGTCAGGTTGCAGGCAGCCAGGGATGCTCAGAGCTCAGACCAGCCGCGGTGGTACGGCTGCTTCGCGCTGGGGGATGGGGATGGCTGGACCAAACCAGAGAGCTGTGGCCGCGGTTAGTTCTGGCTGAATCAGTATTTCCAGTGGTCCTTGCAAAGCGCCACCAAAAACGTGGCCAAGGCTCTTGGGTGGGGTTAGCGAGAGATGCCAACCTGAGAAGCAAGAAGAGAGAGAGGGAGGGAGAGACGCGGGGACCCGTGGACATATGCACGGGTCATACATAGACATGCATGTACATGCATATTTGCGTTTTTATGCGTACAGAGGCTGCCGGGTGGGTGTGTGCTTGCATGCAAACACACACTTAATTTCAGCACGGACACCCAAGCAAATTATACCAAAGTGTACCTAGACACGTCTGTATTAGCAAACATTGACATGTGCACAGGCGTACCCATAGACACCTCCACAAGCCCACACGTACACAGGCATGTGTTGCCAGACACGTGTGACCCAGACTCAAAGCACTGTCGTCCGTGGACTTGAGGTTGCACCTGCCTTTGCTGTTAAACCTCACCGGGGGCAAAACAACACCGCTGTGTGGGTTTCATGCAAAACACTTTACAGAGACAACAGCAGAGGGAGAGACAATTTAAGAGGTGTAATCGGCAAGAGGGAAAATATGTTTCCGCTGCAATTTAAAACCAAACGCGGCATTGACAAGACAGAAAATACTGCAGGGAGGCCTTTCCCCACGGAAGAGGCGGCCCAGGCAGGCTCTCACATAAATCTTGCTTTTTCCCTGAGGCCTACTGCAGATGGGCCACTGAGACTTCTAACCCTGGCCAGGCCATTGCCAACACACCCACACCTGACATTTAAATACCCCTGGCATATAAATTTCTTTCTGCTGAAAATAAAAGAAAAAAAGACTGCTGTGGGTAACAGGTGCAAATATTCTGGTTGCTGGAGATGAATAATCCCTCCCAATACACCGAGCTTAAATGTAAATTTCTACTTCAAATATTTCAGTCTCTTGTGAGTGTTGCTGGCAGGAGCCAGTTTCCTGGAGTTAGCGAGTCAATGAGATAAGCATGTGATCGACCCTTGGATACAGTAGCCCAGAGGCCTAGCTTGGCTTCCCCGACATCTCCCTTACCCAAGCTTCTCACTGGATCCCACAGGAATCTGCTGGCACGTATTTGGAGAACAAGGCAGGGACCCTAACTTTCCGCTTCTCTAACATTGTTCTGCACTGAGTGTGTGTGTGTGTTGGGGCGGGGTTCCCTGGAGGAGGTGGAAAACAAGATGTCTGCTCACTGTGATGGGACTTCACAACCAGTCCCTGGCCGTGTTCTGTGAGCCAGGGGCTAAGTACGGCCACAGAGGCACTGGAGGTACAGAACCAGAACCCACAGAGGCTAGTCCATTTCAGACGATAGGATGTGGGTGATTCAAATACACACAAGCTGGTGGCTGACGCTCTTGCTAGTCAGCTCTCTGAGGCACACCTGCTCATCCATCTCTCCAGCCCCTGTCCACCCACACATGCTGTGGCTCTTCTCCCACTGCCTGTATCTCTAACAGTGTCCTGTACTCCAGCATCTGCAAAGACCCTCTCGACAGGAACTGGAGCCTCTGTGACTCCCCTGAATCTCAACCACAATGCAGTGCCCTTGGACACGGTGTCTGAGTGAATCAGTGAATGAATGAGCAAATGCCCATTTACAGAAGAGGAACGCAAGGCCCAAGTGAGGACACAAATGAACATTTTCTAGGAAATTCTTCATTTACTCTTCAGAATAATCTTATGCGGTGAGTGTTATTAATAGCCTCATTTCACAAAAGACTTGGAGAGATGTGGGATAAGCGAATAAGTCTTTGTCTTAGTCAAAGTTCTTCAGGGAAACGGAACCAATAGAGAGGCAGATTTATTCTGAGAGGTTGGCTCACGTGAGTGTGGAGGCTGGAGCTGGAGCCCAGGTAAACCATCACGACACCTCCAGTCTGAGCCAGAGGGACTACACACAAGAAAGGGGGCCAGTAGCATAGGTAGCCTCCATCTGAGCCTGAAGACCCCAGAAGTGGGAGCCCCAACATCCCAGAGCAGAAGATGGCTACCTCCGCTTATCCTCAGAGCCTCCCTTGGTAATTACTGGCCCTCTGGCTCTGTGCAAGCCCACAGTGGGTTAGTGATAGCCTCTGTGTAGCTGAAATGGCCTCCCAGTCTCAGGGATGGTGTCTTTCCCGGTATCTAAGCCTCCCCCAGCCCTGCCAACTGTCACATACAGTTACCCATCACAACATCTCTCTCAGTTGGACTGGAAACACAGCCCAACGGCACTTCTACAAAGCTGTTCTGTTCACAGACACTCAAACTGGCGGGTACATATCACACAAATCCGGTTCCTGGCTCCAAGATGGGCAGAGCATGGTCCCTGTTGTTACTGACTTACTCATCCAGCGAGAAACTATATTGAACACCTACTATGTGCCAAGGCCAGAAGGGCTGAGAAATTCAGCCCTGAGTAGGACACAAAGCCCTTCAAGGGGATTCTTATCAGAAAGGCAATGCAGGTAGAATGGACCCGTTAGGGAGGAACCAAGTGCCACCAACCTGGGCCACGTACTTCCTTTCCATCCTGTCCATCTGGAATAGCAGCTCTCTCTGACAGGGGCTTCAGATGCCATCTTTTTATGTGTATGTGGTGGGGGATATTCATGTGTGTGCAGGTTCATGTACGTGTATGCAGGTTTACATGTGTGTGTATGCAGTATGTGGTCAAAGGTCCACTGTGGTTTTTGAGACAAAGTCTCTCGGTGGGATCTGGGGCTCACTGAATCCGTTAGGGTTGATGGACAGCAAGTCCCTGACACCCACTTTTTCTGCTTCCGCGGTGCTGGGATAAGCAGCCGCCACTCCTGGCTCTTTAAATAGATGCTGAGGATCAAACTCAGGCCTCGTGCGCTTTACCAAATGAGCATCTTCCTGGCGCTCAGATGCCAACTTCACAGATGAAGAAATTGAGGTTGTGCAGTGTGACATGTCCAAAGCTGCACAAGGAGTGGTCTGCAGATTCTATTCTAAGCATAGGTCCATCTAGGGCTGCTGAGATGGCAGTGGGTAGAGGTGCTGTTGGTGACCTGATGCCCAGAGCGTGACCCCTGGGACCCACACGAGGGTTTGTAGGCTGTCCTCTGACCACCACATAGGGGCTGTGGCATGTGTTCCCAGACAACACCCACAGGGTGAGGTGGATCTGTTAATATTTGTAACCAAGAGTGCTGAGGCACTTTCTATGGGGCAGGATCTTTGCAAAGCACGTTGGAGAAGCCAGGTGTGGTGTCACATGCCCAGACTCCCAGCCTAAAAAGGCTGAGACAAGAAGATTGTCACAAGTTCAAGGCTGGCCTGGGCTACAGATTAAGACTGTATCTTAAACAAACAAAACAGCATGCTAGAAAAATTAAATTATTAGATCTCGAAAACCACCTCTGAAGGGCAGCAAGATGGCTCACAGGGCAAGAGCATCTGCTGCCAAGTCTGAGGATCTGAGTTAGAGCCCACACGGTATAAGGAGAGAATTAATTCCTACAAGTTGTCCTCTGACCTCCACACATTCACAGAGGTATGTGTGCGCGTGCACACACACACACACACACACACACACACACACACTCGAAATAAATAAGTCAGGTGGTGGTGGTGGTGCGTGTCTTTAATCCAAGCATTTGGGAGGCAGAGGCAGGCAGAGCTTTGTGAGTTCAAGGCCAGTCTGATCTACAAAGCAAGTTCCAGGATAACCAGGACTGTTACACAGAGAAACCTTGTCTCAAAAAATTAAAAATAAATAAATAAGTGAATAGATAGATGTAATTTTAAAATTAAATGCACTCCTGGGCAGGTAGTTTTTAACGCACATTTTGCAGAAGAAGTAATAGCAAAGAGTGGTCAGGGATTGACCCAATGTCACACTGCTGGGAAGGGGCTGGGGAAGGATGTAAACCCCAATGGTTAGGGTCCCAGAACCCTCGATGGTATTCAAAGTCTACCGCTTGCCATTTTGTAAGGCTGTAGCAACAGGTGCCACAGGCTGTCAGAGCAGGAAAAGACCACGGGGCCCAGCACTGCAAAGGAAAAGAGTAGACGCAGTTGGGCGTGGTGGTGCACATTTGAGTCCCAACACAGGAGGCAGAGGCAGATGAACTCTGAGAGCTTGGGGCCAGCCTGGTCTACACAGCAAATTCCAGGCCAGACACAGTGAGACTCTATCTTAAGAAGAGGAGGAGGAAGAGTGATGATGATGATGATGATGATGATAATAGTGATGATGATTATGGTGGTGGTGGTGATGGTGGTGATGATGATGGTGGTGGTGATGATGGTGGTGGTGATGATGGTGATGATGATGGTGGTGATGGTGATGGTGGTGGTAATGGTGATGATGATGGTGGTGATAGTGATGGTGATGACGACGACAAGGAC